GGGTCACCTGAAATGTGAGAAGACAGGACCCCACTGCGAGGTCTTCTCCTACAGCTGGGGCACCGAGAGTCTCTGCAGTTCTCTGGTGAAATTCACAATTCACACGTCTGAGTGTAGCTGGTTGTTCCCACATCTGCTTCTGGTTTCGAATGCCCAGCGGATCCCTGAACGCGAAGTGGGTGTGCTAAGTAAAGTGCTAATAATAATGATACACCGTACTGCAGAGCACCCTGCCCTGACGGGGCTGGGCAGAGACTGTCCCAGCAGCGGGACGGCTGGCGGGCGGGCAAGGAGACAGGAAGACGAAGCCCCGGCCCCTACGCCGCGCGGCTGACTGCTCTGGAACTCATTGGCAAACGCGCTCCTGGGGCCGGAGCCGCAGGCGATCGCAGCACCCGATCCACGGCGGGCTAGGAGACACGGGTGTGAACAACTGTGCGCACAAGCAGCACACACTCGCCAAGCAGAGCGACTAAGAGACCAGCGCGGTGGCGCAGAGCTGGGGCCCCGAGTTCAATTCCCAGACCTGGGGTGCTGTCTGTGTGGAGTTTGTATGTTCCCTCTAGGCCCATGTGGGTTTCTTCCCATAGTCCAAAGACAGGTTAATGGGCTTCTGGGAAAACTGGCCCTGGTGTGTGTGTGTGTGTGACACTGTGTGTCCTGTGATGGACTGGTGTCCTGTCCAGGTTGTGTGAGTCTGTGTGTGTCCTGAGATGGACTGGTATCCTGTCCAGGGTGTGTGTGTCTGTGTGTGTCCTGTGATGGACTGGTGTCCTGTCCAGGGTGTGTGAGTCTGTGTGTGTCCTGTGATGGACTGGTGTCCAGTCCAGGGTGTGTGTCTGTGTGTGTCCTGTGATGGACTGGTGTCATCTGCCTTGTGCCCGGTGCGTGCTGGGACTCTGTACTGGATAAAGTGGTTAGAAATTGGATGGATGATGACCAATTCTTTCAAAAGAAACTTCTCCTCACGACCACTTAAGATGGACCTATTCTGTTGATATATATATATATTTAATTTTTGCCGGTGGTGCCGCCGCCGCCGCCCGGCTCAGCCTGTGGGGTCATTTGAAAAAACCTTTGAAGGTGACTCCTTCTGAAGCTCAGTCAGCCGTGCAGCGCGTGGGCAGGGAAGCCGCGACGCCCAGGCAGCGCCAGTGACGTCCGCCTGTTCATCCCAGCTGGAGAACAGCCCCGAGAGCGGGCTTCCTGATTCAGCACAAGCGAGAGCTCTGAGTCAGAGCGAAACACCGGGGCCACTTTCAGAGGCTTCTATTTCTGGGGCAAATGCGGCTCGGGCTCTGCTCAGAGCGGGCAGACTCCCTCGATTTCTCCGAAACCTCGGAGCGCCATCCCGCCCCGGCGCTTGTGCAAAACAGGCACTGTCGCACGATCGCGGGGGCGGGGGGGTCTGGCCTGAATTGCGTTTGAAAAATAAAAAAAGGCGAATGATGAAAAGGAGTCTACGCGCGGTTAAAACTGGCCCTGCCAATCCTTCACCCTACACAGGCCGAACCCTGAGTTTAAACGTAGGCTGGCAATCGTAGCCTCGTGCACAGCTGCGCATAGCGGGACGCACAAACTAGACAACTCGCGGCCGCCATTTTAATAGTGCAGAACGGAATTCGTGACGGCAAGCTGTGCGCAAATAAGATGCAAAAAGGGCTACTGCGTGTAAAATGAGACACACTGAGTACTAGTTTGGGTCATAAATAGCCTTTGCCTGAGCTCCCGGTGGAAAAAGCCGAAGTTTACGAGTCTATAACATGACTCCCCTTTTCCTAGCCCTTCCCATCATGCCATGCACTTCCGGTCCCTCGCTCTGTAGCCATGGCGCTAGTCCGGCTGGAGCGTCAGGGAGGCCGGAGACTCCGAATGATTTTACTTACGGCACAGGGATACGAATGAGAAAGCAGAACACGGAATTCCAAATGAAACCTTGACCGCCCCACCCCACCCCCATAAAAAAACATTTCCCATATTGCTGTCGGCGTGAGAACAAAAACAAACAGCTTTGCTTCATGTGAAAATAAATAAATAGATTAATACGCAAAAAAAAACCCAACAACCCATCACCCAACATAAAAGAAAAAAAAAGAATTCCCGATCATATCTACAATCCCAGCACAGAAGCTGTTCCTCAGAGGAAATGCCGTGGATGGGATCTCCTCATGGGAAAAGCTCCAGGTGATTGGCCCCAAGTGTCTGTGTCTCAGGGGAGGGGGAAGACAGCCGGCGCTTTCTTTCGTCCAAACGCAGAGGGAGGATGGAGCGAGAGAGAGCCGAGCCAGGGGCGTCCAGGTCCGAGCCCAGCTGTCGAGGCGCCGCCGCATCCCGGCTCCCATCCGGCACGGTCTTCCCGAGATCCCAAAGCTAGCACGTTCATGTCGCGGAGCTGCCGAATCCAGTATCTCAGGTCCTAGAGGGAGCAGAGGGGCGACAGGAGAAGACTCACTTGCAGGTGCCTCCGGGGGCGGTTCTGTCGGAACACAGGACCGGTCACAAACGAGAGGAAACCGCTGCCGGGCTCTGACCCAGCCCGCACCTGTGTCACATCAGACCGCGGGTGAAGCCTTAATCCGAGGGCAGCAACACGGTGGCAGGAAGTCCCATCATGCACTGAGGGATGCCCACTGTGAGGGGTAGGAAGGCACTGCCCCTGTTCCCAGTGCGCCTGTCTGCTGCCCCCTCGTGGAAACAGGCAGTGCTGCAGGAGGAGGCT